AGATGATGCAAAGATGAACAACGTAAGACTAATAGGCATCAATGAGAAGGAAGGAGTCAATACAAATGATATAAAAAGAATATGGGCAGAAGTAACAGCAGAAAACTTCCCAAAATTGGGGAAACAGTCTGATATTTAGGTAACTGAAGCATATAAAACTCCAAATAACATCAACTCAATTAAAAACACACCAAAACATATATTAGTCACGATCCCAGAAATTCAGCACAGGAACAGTATACTAAAAGCTGCTAGAGAAAAGAAGTGGATCACATTTAATGAAAAACCCATCAAAATAATAGCAGATTTCTCTTAAAAAACCATCAAGTCAAGAAAAGCATGGAGCAAAGTGCTACAAGTCTTGCAAGAAGACAAATTCCAACCCAGACTGATCTACCCTGCAAAACTCTCTTTCAAGTATAATGGAGAAGTGAAATGCTTCCATGACAAAGAACAGCTAAAGAATTTTATAGCAACAAAGCCAATCCTACATGGACTACTAAATGATGTTCTAGAGAGGGATCAAAATGACCACAACTCCATGAATGAGAAGGGAGAGAACCCACCAAATAGGGCAAACAATTAGACACAGGAGAAAAAGAGGTATACAACAACAGTCTTTCAATTATTCTTTTGTATACAGCAGCAAAATATTTTTGTCAGCATACTCTACAAATGGACTTCTCCTACACCCTGTGGGGCATGATTTTGTCCAAGTCTACAGGGTAGATATCAAGGAAATAGCAGTGGCTCAGTCCCACAAATGACAGCTGGTCATCCACATCCACCACATACTAGAACTTTGTGCAATATCCTATCCCAAACTGTCAGAAGTGTTGGTCATAACCTTCCAGCATTTTTGTTATGTTTTAGTCTTACTAATTCTTTACTATCATGAAAACTTTTTCTTAATTGATATTTTTGTCTATATTAATCTAATCAAATACTGAGGGAGTGCTCTGAATTGATCACAGATTAGTACATATGATATGCTACACTCTGGCTTCTTAGTTGGATTCACAATTTAATTTTAATTTTGAATGTTGTCTTGAAATATTTAATTTTGAATTAATTAATATTTAAATTTCCAAATATTGTTTAATTTTAATTTTTGTTTTATGATTTATACTTTTTCTTTGACCTATCATGTGCTTAAAGGACATGGTATGATATTTCCTCCTAGTATTAGAAACTTTAAAAAGTGTGTTTCCATTTTCCATTGACTTTATATTAGTTCTTCCTTGACTTTTACACACACGCGCGCGCGCGCACACACACACACACACACACACACATATATACTGACATAAGATTGATAATGTTTTGTGGAAAACTTCAGTGACCTTTTAAATGTGTTTGTCTAATATAGTTATATTTTACATAGTCCTGAATAACTACCATTTTGAGAGCTCTTTATTCTTTATCCAGGACCACACAGCAACTTCTCTTGCCTTCTCGATTATGGTCTTTGTTATTTTCTATATGCTACATCTGGAGGTATAAGAATATTTTGAGGTTGTATAACTGGAAAATATTTTACTTGCAGTCTGCAAAGATATGTTTACTATGTATAAAATTCAATGAGGACAGATCTTTATTTATTTTTTTTTTTCAGTCCTGTGAACAAATAAGTCTAGTTTCTTATCCACTTGCTCTTTTTTATTTTTCTAGTGTGGAAGAAGATGCTATTTAATTTTGTTCGTCCATAGCTAATATTTTTTCTGTGTATATGCTTTGATGATTTTTTCTTTACAATTACTTTTCGACAATTTCATTTTTGTGTATCTTAATATGATTTTATTCATATTTCTTGTGCAAAAGGTTCATTTTTTCTTGGAAATGTGGTGCTATAATTTTAACTAAATTCAGAAATTTTAATTATTTAAATATTTATTGCCTACCCCTTTCTACTTTGAGAATTATGATTATGAATATAGCTTTCTTGATTTTGGCACAGAGTGAGCTATCATATGACCAAACTGTAAACTCTTTCTTCATGTTTATTTTAGACAATTTTCATTGTTACATTCATTTAAGTATGTACATATTTTTTTAAATGTGCAATCTATTATTAATCTCATGTTATATATTCATTTCAGAAATATTTTTCTAAAATTCACTCTGTCTACATGTTATATCTTTCACATTTCAATATTTATCTACAATTTTTAATTTGCCATATAATTATTATTGATTTTCAATAAGGTTAATGAGTTAAAAATATAAAATTTATTTACCATATTTTTCTGAGGATTCATAGCCAATGTATTATTTTCTTTTCATTTGGTTGATAAATCTTTGTTAAGACTGGAGTAGAATCATTGTAAATGCGAAGTGTGTCACTGTATATTCCTTTTACTAAACCTGAACCTGTTAAATGATCAGATATTTAATATTTCTTTGAACTTCTCAGTAAGGAAGTCAGTTTAATGCTGTCTGTGAGTCATATAAAGCAAAATAATGGCTTCATGGCTCTGTGTATTCACAGCAGCAGGCCTCTCACCCAGATAAGCTTACCACAGGGCCAATCTGCACTGGATTTCTTTTGGACGTCTTCAGTAGCGCTCCTTATGAGTGATGTACCCATGCTTTAGGCATGCAAGTTTATTCACTGTAGAGAGCCAATGGGTTTCAAAGAAAATTTAACGGATGAAAGTTACCTAATACTTTAAAACACTGAATCAAATATCTATATTTTCAATCTTAAATATCTTAAGATTTTATGATTTTTAATAGTAAAATTTAAAATCAATGATTTTTTACAACATCATAATTAATTAGTAGACTTACTCTTACGCTGCATACCCTTTCTATGCACTGGCTTCACAGACTTGTTAAATCTTTTTTTTGAGTTGTAATTTGATCTCAGATGTTTTCAACAAAATTGGATCATGTAAGTGTGGCTATAATGAGGTGTCTAGGATTATCTCAAAGCCTAAAAAAGTTCTGAAAATATAGGCAAAATCTAGATTCCTTACATTTAACACACCAGGAGGAATAATGTTATGAATGAGAAGAAGTTAGTAGAGTTCTTGAACCAGAAAAATACAATGTGATCTGTGTAAAGAATATGTGTTCTAGGGGCCAGGGAGATGGCTCAGTGGAATAAGTGCTTCCCTGGCAAACGCGAGGGCCTGAGTTCAATCCCTGGTTTTAAAAAAAAAAAAAAAAAAAAAAAATATGTGTTCTAATTTACAGACAACAATATGCAATGTATTAATCATTGTTATTCTTCTATTAGCGCGTTTTGAACTTTTGTTTTACTTTTTCTCTTTACAATAAAATTTAAAAAATGAAGAGAAACAATTTGTGCTCTGATAAAATCTAGGGTATGTGGAGAGACATTGAGAAAACAATATTATAAATAGGAATAATAGCTAGAATACTATGGGGCATCAGGCTGAAATGAGAAGGATAGATTTATCAGTGGAACTGAACAAAAATGATGTGAGAAACGTTTTCAGCTGTGTGTGGATAAAACTGAGTAATCAAGTAGCTAAATCATAGGAAGGGGGGCGGAGTCAGTCAGTCATTCCCAGCATGCCTTTCGTTGTTTGCCTTGGGACCCTAGTTGCAATCACATGGCTTTCTGAACGCTGCATACTCTGGCTCCACTAAAACTGCTGATTTTTAAATAAACCATGCGCATTATGGGCTTAGTGCTTTGCAGCAGCTGCTTCTTGTTTGGAGTACACTCTTGCACAATATTCTGTAATGTCGGACACTCCTCTTTTGTTCAGGACCTGATTGCCCCGTCTTCAAAAGATCGCTAAGCACCATATTTAAAAAAGTGGGATAGCCTGTATGACAGCCCTGGCAAATGAATGGAAGGAAGCCAGTTCTAGAAAGCTCCAAACATTGGCTCTATGATTTATAAAGTATGTGAATTTGACAGTGTATTCTACCCCCGTTTACTAATTTATAAAATGGATTCTTTGCTAGAAACTTCCTCATAGTGGTCTATAAAGGGTGAGGGGAAATGAATTAACTCTTATAATTTGTTTAAGTAATTGTTGTTTGCATGCATTTTATTGTTTCGTTTCAGTTTGGAGGCAGGGTGCTGGGAACTGAAGCCACAGTGTGGCCTGCGCTAAGCACACGTCAGCCACTCAGCTGCACTTCCGGCCGTCCTGTAGCTTTTTTGTGTTACTGGGTATTGAGCTCAGGGCCTTCTGAGCCTGTCGGCGGAAGCAGCAAGCACTCCGCTGCGCTAGGTGTAGACCTTAAGCCATCCTCGTGCTATTGTTTATACCATTTTGAGGATCTTGTAAATACAAAAGCTTATTCTGCGATGAGAATATTATCACTTCAAGGCCCAAAAACAATTGAAAAGTAGCTCTGATCTGGAAAGTGGCTATAGCCAAAGTAGAATCTGTTTTATTTGCTTTACCTGGGAATCAAGAATTGCTAGACTGTGGTGAAGCAGAATATGCCTCAGCACAGAATCTGTAGTCTTCTAAAGAGCTAAATATATTGACTTTAAAATATTTTGGCCTCTTGGTATTAGTGGCCAGAAGAGAAAAGCTGAAAGAGAATGACAGTGAAGATTGATATAGATGAAAATTTACAGGATGATCAATTCTGTATAATAGCTCACAGAATGGAATTGGTTAATGGTAGGTTGGATTATGGCATTTACTTTCTTACACATTATGTTGAGAAAGTTAGGGTGTAACCAGTAAAAAATTATTAATCTTTCATTAGCTCTAGGGATTTTTTTTCTCATTTATATATTATTATAAATATGATATTAACATATTATTATAGCTCTGATTTTATTTTTATGTCTTATTGCATTGTAGTAAAATTTTTGTGATTAAACTATAAATTGAGTGGTGACTTTGGTAGGTCTGAAAGAAAGAAACCTTATTTTGGTCACTCTATTATTTGTGGCCTACCTGTGAAGACAGACAAAACCTGACAACTAAAAAAGGAGAAAAAGAATAACTTGGGGAAAAACAATGAAGGGTTATTCAGTTTTCTCCTCAGCAGCAGCTAATGCTGTTATGTTCTTTGTGTTCATTACTTCCATCCACTCAAATTTGGACGAGCCCTCAGGAGCCAGCTTCTGCTTGCTAAAACCTAGTGATCACTTTTCATTTTTAATCTGTGTGTCTTTTCCTCTCAGCCTCTCATTCTCCTTCTCTCTTCCTTACTCTCTCCCTCTCTCCTTCCTCTCT